GGCCCTCGTCCCTCCCCCCCCCTCCCCTCTCTCTGATTCTCACTCCGGTCTCCTTTCAGTTGATCTTGTTAGCGCTGGGCTGAGCTGAGGAGCGCCCGTGTCGTGACTCCCTGAGAGTGACGGGACGGAGGCGTGGCGTGGCGAGGCCTAGAGTGAACGGGCGGCGGACCTCCGGATGGGCGAGTACCACAGAAGCGGCGGATGTCTCCACCACTGACCACTTTCGAACACGGAGAAATTTGTGTCCTTTTGGAATGTCACCAATTGGCAGAAGTAGTAGGAGGAGATCTCCGCGCGGGCGTTCGCATAGCCTTGCCCCCCACCCCCTCCTCCACAAGGCCGCGCCGGCGGCTGGGCAGCCCGGCCCAGCGGGTCCCGCGCCAAGCCCTGACCTACCGCAGCACGGGCCCGCCCAGCCCACTCGCCGCGCCCTCGCTATTTCCGTCATTTTCTGCACTTTAACGCGGCGTTTGTCGCCTCGCCGTCGCCGCCTGCTACGCCCCCTCCCTCTTTCCCCTTCCGGGTAGCGACTCGGGAGGGCCACCAAGGCGCGGGTTCAAACACGGCCGCCGTGTCAGAGGCGCGTTTTGCCCCACCCTCTCCGGTTCCCATTTACAATCACCCATCCGACGGGCCCCGCCGAGACGCCACCCGGCAGCATCAGATCTCACAGTCAGGTCCCCGCCCCGCCCTACGGCACCACCACAAACAAATCCCCATCGCTTTCCCCTCCTATCCCCGGCGAAATCGGAACCAAAACAGGAAGCCAATTAATCAACCAATTGTTCGCCTGCTGCTCCCCTCTCACACACACACACGCACAAGTGCACCGATCGAATGGTCTTATTTCTGTCTACCTCAAGACCGATTAGGCGTCGTCGCCCGTTTGCTGTGCACCTCTCCACTCCACGGCCCAATACTCCACATCCGCCGCGAAGCGTGGCTCGGCGTGGCTCGGCTGCCGCTGCCGCGGGGCCTTTCTCCTCGCCCTCCAGAAGCCGCGCGCAGCCCGGCTGGTGCAGCCACGTGCAGGTGTGCACCACGGCGAATTAGCACCCAGCCGAAGAGCCGCGTCAGCAGCAAGCGGACGTGCTACAGGAGGCCCGGCTGCCCTGCTCCCGTCTCCATCCAGCATCTTCTTGGACCGAGGAGGTTTCGGGCAGAGTTATATTGCAAACCACAAGAGACGCGAGCCTGGAAGCGACAGAATTGCGTGGAAAGCACCCAGGGGACCTAAGGGGACCCAGGGGGACACCCCCTCCCCAAAAAAAGAGGTCAATAATGAGGGAAACGAGTCGGTGGTTGGAGAGAATGTGTGTGTGTGTGGGGGGGGAGGGGGGGCATTAATTGGTGTATGGTCCAGGCGGGCAGCAGGCAGACGGACCCCCC